CTCTTCTCTCACGTTCCCTGACCCCCTCCCTCCGCCCCTTACTCTGCTTTACCCTTCTCAGGGCATTCATCACCATCTGACATACCATCCACAAAGCTCTTCATTTTCTGCTTCCCTGCACTAGAATTCCAGCCCTCTGAGAGCGAGGACACAGTTCTGTTCACTGCCTCTCCCTAATACCGAGATCAGGACCTTGTGCCTAGATCAGCACAAGATATGCTCAACACATATTTTTTGAGTGGATGAAAGTACTATTTCTCCCGTTTTACAGATGAGGAAACAGGCTCAGAGGCAACTTGCTACGGTCCTCAAACTAGGACTCTAGTAACTACCAAGAACTAAACCCGCCCCTTGCCTTCCTCCCGGCAACCAAGCAGGAAGTCACCCCTCCTCTTCCAGTCAAGCACACACTCCCTCTCCCCTCCCCACCACCACCTTAACTCTGCGCTGAGGTTATCTGGAATATTCCAGCAGTAGATCACTTGTACAGCAGAATGCTCCATTTGCCTGAAGGTTAACCTCTTCCATGCCTGGATGTCCACTGCTTTTCCCTCTCTTCGTAAAGTATTGAAATGCAATTTACCTTCTCCTCTGTCGTGGGATTATAATTATTGTGAGGTGTGGTGCAAATGCAGGAGACGTGGAAGACAGGAACCAGTGGGTCCTAGCCCTGCGGTGGCTCTGTGACTTGTTTTTTGGAGGCTGCCTTGCTCTGTGATCTCTTGTCCCTTCCTTGCCAAGGGACCATGAACGGTGATGAGCTGAATGACTCTGTGGTCTCCGCATGGCTGTCTTTCTCTAGCACCAATTACTGGATCAAATGTCCAACATTCCTCTCCCAAGCGACTCCTTGCTCTCCAGAAAGTCTCCAGCAATGCCACTATTAGGATCCTTCAACTTGGCAAGCTCATTCAAAATGTTGTCTAGGGGCTGGCCCAGTGGTGTAGCGGTTAAGTTCCCTGTGCTCCGCTTCAGTGGCCCGGGGTTTGTGGGTTCGGATCCTGGACAGCACAGACCTATATCACTCATCAGCTATGCTGAGGCAGCGACCCACATCCAAAACAGAGGAAGATTAGCACAGATGTTACCTCAGGGCTAATCTTCCTCACAAAAAAAAAGAGGAAGATTGGCAAAGATGTTAGCTCAGGGCAAATCTTCCTCACCACAAAACAAAACAAAACAAAAAACATTATCTACAGCCACGACCATGAAACACATGCTTCTTCATCAGTTTACATCACTCTTCCACATCCCCTACCTGAAGTTACTAAGTTCCTTTGTTTTAAGTTATATGAGCAAACTCAAGAATTTGTGCTAAGTGGGGATAAAAGGAAGTTCATTTCATCCACGCATCCCCATCCTCAACCCATTTAATTTCTAAATTACTTTTCACCCACCTTGAGGCATGGGTCCCTGTGAAAAAATTTTAGGTTTGCAAAAGGCATGGATAACGACTGGTGGATTACAAACAAAATATAAAATAATAAAACCATGACATCGAAAACCACCTGCAGCTGTTTCTGGTTTATGGGTGCTTGACCCTCACATGACATATTTTGGGATGAGGGGGGACAGATGTGGGGAGAATGAGGGTGGAGAATCAGCCGGATGCCAGAGGATGTCCACTGAAACCCAGCTCCCCTTTCACGTCGTACCTCTGAACCGTGTCATTAGATGCCTGTCTTAGAAGGGCCTGCAATCAATAAAAAGAAGTTCAAAAACCACTCCATCAGCAGCTGAAAATCTGCCCTTCACTTTCCTTTCTCTGCACCCTGAGGAGTTCTAAATCTTCCTTCTTTCCTACATTAAGCCGGAGACACCAGGCTCCCTGGAACCGTCTTTTATTCTGCATTATTTCTGCAACGTTCTGCCAAGCATCTGTAGGTCTTTAAAGGAACAGTGAAAAGGTAGCAAAGACACATCTGTACGGCAAAGACATGTGGCCCAGGGAAGGAGCACATAAATCAAAGCCAGAGAGAAGCCTGCTAGCAACCTGGAAATCAAATTGTGTCAGGGAGAGGGCCCGTGTGGAAAAATTGATTAGAAGGGCACTGAACAAGAGAGAAGAAAGACACGCAGCCCCTATCAAAATTAATGAGAGGGAGAGGAGGCCTGGAGAAACAGCCCGAATGAAAAGACTCTCGCACTGCTTAAGGATGGACGAGCGTTCCAGCAAGCGACAGCGACTCCAGCTTGGATAATGCCATAGCCGTCCATCTCCACTCCCCTCTTTGTGTGTTTGACCACCCTCAAACCAGGGCTACAGGCTCTGAAAGAAACGTGGGGAGGAAGGAGACATGAAACGGATGGGACAACAGGTGCAGGAATTTAGATGAGCACAGAAACCTCCATCGCAGCCCTGTCCTTCAGTGACCTCCAGCTCCCAGTCCCAACTTTGTAACCACTGTGCTGAGTGGGAGCGGGGCTGGCAAAACCTCTCTGAACTGGGCTGGTGATACTAGCTTCACAAGCTATCCTGAGACGGCAGAAGTAAAGCGCCTAGTGCAGGCACTGGCACAGAGCAGGGGCTTCTTAAAGAGCGACTGTTATTATTACTAAACAAAATTCAGAAGCAGGTGTCTCTGAAACCTTCCACTTTCATCTGCAACTTTCAGGCTCCGAGCGCCCTTCTAATTCCTTCTTTTGCTCAAAACCCTAGATTCCAGTTCTCGCCTCTACTCCAAATCCTATGTTGGGATGGAGCAGTCTCTGCTTCTCCCAACCAAATCTCCCATCCTGCAGGCGAAACTAATCCTAGTCCGAAGGTGAGAAATGTCCTCTGCTGGTGGACTTTGGCCCATGATGGTGATAATTCTGATCAGACTTCTTTATTCTGCAGGTCCTGCAGCCTTGGGTAGCACGCTCTGCCTCTTCTGCATTTGGCATGACTAAGAGGAGAGAGACAAATTCGAGTGTTCTGGAAATTTAACTTCATTCCATTTACAAGCTTAGTTTCTATTTTAAACCCGCATTCTGCCTGACAGCAGAAACTTAATCTAAGCCAATTTGGAGTTGTATCCCTGAGTAATAACCATAAGTCAGATTATAACACCAAGACTGTGCTGGCTTGGGCAATTGTGGTAGTCTTTAGGTAGCAAGTGCTTGAAAAGATTCTGGCTCCCTTCTTCCAAACATCAGGGAGGGTTGTACTTCCCCACACACCTGAAGGCAATGACTGTGGCCACATGACTTGCTCCAGCAAATGAAACTCAAGAGCAAGTGGCAATTCCAGAAGGAAGCTTTAAGTGCCTGTTCATGCTTCTCCTCATTCTTTTTTTTTTCTCTCTGCCACAGAGACTGGCAACCTTCCAGAGAGAGGCTGCTCCATCAGGTCCCTGGGTGAGGACAGTACTGACTTGGCACAAAGCTTTCTGCTGATCTGCAGCAGACCTGTAGTGTGAGTGAGAAATGAGGTTTTGTTGTTTGAGCCACTTAGACTAGTTTTCACTGTGGTTGTTTTTCTTACCTGGGCACATTCTAGCCTATCTAAAGGGTACAGGTGGCATCATCTATCCAGGATGCCCTCATTCCCACCTTGTCTTCAACTTGTCATCCTACACTTGCTGAGTCCTCCTCTGTTCCCCACCTCAGGGCCTCCTGGGGTCCAGACCTCTCTCAGAGGACAGCGACCAGTTTGCAGTCACAGCATCACACTGGGCTATGGGTGTTCAGGCCCATCTGTCTAGACATTCCACGCCACCCAGAGCCTCATGACTCCCCTGGGGTTCTACCAAGGAAAGGCAGAAGCCTGCCTGGGCCCTCGCCGGGGTTCCTGCCATCCCCACTTCTTATCCAGCAGGTTTTGGACCACTCCCTCTCCCAAATCCCCCCCACAGTTACCCTCTTCTGGCTTTTCCTACACATCCTACTTGCCCTATTCTCACTCCCAAACCTGGGGGACCTTAATCTGGCCTCAGGCTGGAGGCCTTGTTCTGATTCCTCAGTGCCCCTCGAGGTTATTATGCCTGTTTGGTGTTCTTTCCAACCCCCAAGTGCTGGGCTTTTAAAACTCAAAAGCCAAGAATTGCCCCATTTAAGTGTAAGATCATGAGGCCCAAGACCATTTCTTCCACGTGTCCTACACATCTCCAGACTTTGGGAATTTAACGAATACAGGGAAGCAGTTAACTAGCAAGTGACCATGAGGATATTCTCATCAGCCACAGGATATGCCCTGTCCAGCCCCTGCCAGCCACTTACATCCTGAAAAGGGTCTCCTTTTCCCTCCTGGGTGCATTTGAAAAACCCCAAAAATACATGCAGATCCCACCGGTTCTCGGTAAGAGAGGACACGAAGCATGCAAAAGTCAACGCCTGAGGGGGATAAAGTTCACGTTCTGAGAGACCTGCGTCCACAGCTCACATCAGCCACTGCCTGAGGACACTCCTGTTTCTAATCTAGGCAAGCCTCCACATTCTCGGCGTCGGTGCTGACAGGAATAAGCCAACCCACCTCTCGCCTCCTTTAAACTCTTTATCCGGTCTTGCGAAGGCCAACAAACCGTCTGGCCAGCCTCCAGGTTTAGCGTCGGCACCTTTCACCCCGGTCCCACCCCTTCCAAGTGCTAGGGGCACCAGGCCGGGTTCAGGGGCGGCGCGGGGAGCCCCGGGCAGACGGCGTCGGGGCGGGGCGAGGGGCGGGGCGACAGGGCCTGGGGGCCAAGGTGGAGAAGCGGGCCGGGGACGGGTTCAGGGGCGGTGCAGGGAGCCCGGGGCAGACAGCGTGGGGGCGAAGGGCGGGGCGTCGGGCGGGGCGAGGGGCGGGGCGACAGGGCCTGGGGGCCAAGGTGGAGAAGCGGGCCGGGGGCGGGTTCAGGGGCGGTGCAGGGAGCCCGGGGCAGACAGCGTGGGGGCGAAGGGCGGGGCGTCGGGGAGGGAGTCAGGGGCGGGGCGACAGGGCCTGGGGGCCGGGGTGGAGCAGCGGGCCGGGGGCGGGATCAGGGGCGGTGCAGGGAGCCTGGGGCCGAAGGGGTTAGGGCGGAGGGGCGAGGGGCGGGGCGTCGGGGACGGGATGGGGAGGGGGCTCAGGGGCGGGGCAACAGGGGCCCGGGGCCGGGGCGTCGTGGAGGGGCGGGGCCGTGGACCCGGGGGCGGGGCGTTAGGGGTAGAGGGTTGAAGGTTGGGGGCCGAGGGGCGGGGGAGGGGTCCCTCCGGGGAGAGGCGTCCGATAGCGGCCTGGGCGTGGGAGCTCCCACTCCGTTGTGCCAGCAGCTGGCTCGCACCAGCGCCCCTCGCAGCGCCTCCGTCCCGCAGCCCTCCGGTGTCCGGCCTCCGGACCGCGTCTCTGACCGCCATGGCCGCCGCCGCCGCGGGCGTGCGGGCTTTCGGGGCCAAGGGGCCCGGCTGGCTCCGGCGCAGCCCGTGGGCTCCGCTCGTCGCCGGCTTCTGCAGCCGCGGGACGGCCGGGGCCGGGCAGCCGGAGCCCGGGCCGCGACCCACCAGCGTGCGGCAGCAGGACGGCATCAGGTCAGCGCGGGGCGGCTGGCGCCCTGGCCCCCGGACCACCTGGGGCGGACGGCGGGGACCGGGAGGAGGGGTGGGCGGGGGGCGCCCGCCGCCAAAGTGGAGCCTCCAAGGCCGGGTTGGTGGGCGCGCCGTCGGCGCCGAGTCCCCGTTGATCGGTCACTGCCCGGTCCGGCGGCGGGGATGGCCGCGCATGCGGGGTTTGCAGAGGCCTCGAGCGCGCGCACGGTAGTGTTGGGGACCCTGCAGGACACACGCGGGGGATTTTAAGTGGGATTGTCTCAGACGGCCCAGCACTTCCCCTAAGCCCCTCGGGGGCCGAGTTGTCATTGGACTTTGGAGCTCAGCGTGGGCCGCTGTGCGGGTGGCCCACCGCTGCTGTGGACTTTGAGAAAGCCGGTCAGGAGAGCTGGGGTGCCTGGCGCAAACCTGACCTGGCTGCGGGGTCAGGTTACGCTTCGGGGAGCTGCTCTGTGGCCCTCTCCCCAAGTGCCCGCGTGGTGGGGGCCGGTCAATAGGACGAAGGATACACCACTCTGAGCTCTGCCCTTTGGCTCAACAAGCCAAAATCCCTTAAAAAAATATGCCTGTGCACAAACTGGAAACTGGGCGATGAGGCGGGCAGTCAAGATTGAAGGGCCACTGGCCCCATCCGGGCCTCGCTGTGACGTTTGCCTGGCCCACGGCAAGAGAGGCCTACATTGCCCGTCTAAATATTTAAAAGTTAGGAATCCAGCTAACTGCTAAACATGTTTTCTTCCCCTCCCCTGACAAGTAGATCTTCATAAGACCTGGAAGGCTGTGTTTGAATTTACAGTCTTCATGCTCCTAGGAGTTCCCCCAGAAGCAGTGGAAAGCCAGCTGCTGGCCTGCAGTTTTTTCCTTTTCTTCCCACCCTGCTCTCACCCCCTCCCACCTCTCCACCCCTCCTTCTGCTGCTCTGCCAGGAGCTTGGCACCCCATCCAGTATGCCCATATTCTCTCTAGCCCCTCACCCTCTATAGACAACTGCTCTTAGCCACCCCATGGTCCTAGGGTTGCCCAGTGCAGAGCCAAGGAATTCCAGGGTCTCAGGTAACTGCAGAGGGGTTTGGAAGAGGGTGGTGATTTCCAGGTGGGCACACCCGTTATCCCAGTGGGCTTGTTGCTGAGCTGGAGGGCCACAGCTGGAAGAAGGCCTGTCAGGGTGCTCTAAAGAAATGCAGGGCCCAGGTGGGAGTCCTTCTTGCCCATTTTCAAGGGTGGATCTGGTTGCATCTGTTCAGAAGCTGGACTGCTGGCATGGCAGCCGGTGGACGAAAGAAGGCCTGGTTGAGTTCTCCAGAGTTAAACATGAAGCAGAAAGGGAGATGATGGACAGGATCTGTCATAAATGCTGAGAATCATTTTGGAGGTAGGAAAACCCCAAATCCAGCAGTACAACGTTAGGCACTAAGTAGGTGAGCTTGAGCACCCCAGTCATGCTTCGAGTGTCCCTCTTGAAAGCTGTTTCTCTCAGCAATGGTACTGCCATGTAGTGAGGGCCAGCTCTGAGCTGGGTACCGTGCTAGACACTGCACGTTCATGACCCCCAACCCTTACAACAGCCTGCGACATAGAGAATGTTATCTCCACTTAACAGTGAGGAAGCAAGTTCAGAGAGGTGACAGCCTGTGCAAGGCCACACAGCCAGGAGCTAGGAACGCCAGGAGTCAGAGAAATGCCCCCTGCCTCCAGACCACCTCCCACTCTGCTGCGCCATCTCACTGTACTCAGCAGTTAGGTTTCAAAGAGCTGGCAAAAACCTAGATGAGAGGAAAAAATCACCACAGTTGGTAGAATTGGCTGTGAAAAATAGATACTCTTTTTGGTCTTTAATGCAGTCAGCAGGTATCCGTTCAGTGTCTCCTCTGTGTGTAACCATGACGACACCTCGCCTCCTGGACCCTCTGGTGGTTTACAATAATGGGAGATCTTCAGACGGCTCATCAGGGCATCTACAAGGCCCATCTCTCGCCTCGTAAATGGAAACATTACACTTTTATCACATTCCCTGACCGTGACCTCACTCTCTGAGAGATTCCCTCTTACGCGTGCCATGTTGGTGAAGCTCTAGGTGCAAGGCATCACGGGTTTTGAAGCAAGAGAGCCATTAGGAGAATTCAGACTGGTGAGATTTTTTGGATGTTTTATCAACCAAGTTTGATGACCAGTTGAACAAGGAAGAAATAGCAATCGAAGGTGGCTTTTGGTTTCTGACTTGGGCATCTGAGTGACAGCACTGAGATAAGGGAGAGAGGAGGGGGCAAGTGTGGGAGCTGGGAGAAGGTGGCCAAGAGACACCGCAATGGTGAAGTCCAGGAGACATTTGAATGAACTTAGAGAGCTGAAACTCAGGAGAGAGGTTTGAACTAGGGCGAAGATTACAAGTCGTCAGCATGGAAGTAGTCATTGATACCAAGGCCATGGGGAAGTTGCCTGGGAAGAGTGTATGGAACAAGAAGAGGACGAAGGAGGGAGCTCCGAGGATCGCTGGCATTGAGGGGTTAGCAGAAGGCTAGGAGCCCATGGAAGAAGTCTAGAAGGACCGGCCAGAGAAGTACTAAGAAACCAGGAGAGGAGGAATGTGCTTCTAGAAGGAGAGCAAGATCCAAATGGCCATTGGATTTGGTTCTGGCAAGAAGGAGATTCTCGGGGAGACCAGTTTTAAAGGAGTGGCAGGAACAGAAGCCTGGTTACACTGGGTTGAAAAGTGAACTCAGCAATCTCAGGCACTCTGGCAGCGTGTGTGATGCACGAGCCAAAGGATCGATGGGATGCGTCTGAACAGACACTGCCATGCAGCAAGGGCGTTTGGGGGCTGGCGCCTTTTTACACAATGTTGCCTGAAGCCTTAGAATTTAATTTAAGCATTTGTCACTGATGGAATGGCAGCTTTTTAGGTTTGCTGCAGCAAGCACACTCATTATCTTACTGGAAAGGTTATCAGCAGCTGTCTAACCACCAGTCCCCAAATACAGGTTTCAAAGTCTATCAGCCTGTCAGCTACAAGTCACTTCTGTACTTAGGAGAGAACCTGTTTATGAGAAACAAAGCGATGAAGACCACAGCCACCGGAAGATGGCAGCAAACCTGAAATGGTCTTCCAAAGAAAATGGTTATTCTTACTGCATTGAAATAAACTCAGTCATCAAAGTGGTTTTCCAGAAAACAGGGATACAGGAGGATGTTTATGGAGGATCCTAGTTGACACATAGCAGTAGAATTATCAGATTCAAAAAAAGAATGAGGAAGGCAGAAAACGTGGGTGGACGCTGATGGGAAACAGATTTAAAATATACAACAATAATCTGATGTCTGGCTTGCCTCCTGTTTCTTATAACAGCAAAAGTAAGACATTTCTGTGTAGAGGCAGTAAGGTGACAATACAGGTTATTTTAATCAGCAGGTGGGGTACCTTAAAATAGCAAGCAGGGCTTTTGTGAAATGACGCGCACGGTTCCATCCTTTTCGTCTTCCCATATCCCGTTCTCGGGCAGCATGGATTATTTTGCGGAATCACAGGATGCTGCTATTAAAAAAAATGGGAAAATGCTGCTGTAAACGTGTATTGGCAGCTGCACCTTCCCTGCCTCTTCTGTGGGGTGGGTGGGAGGAGATCTGGGGGCGTATTTCCTTCTTGGCTCCTCTGCTAGCCTTATTCTTTCTCAAGAACAAGAAGAAGAAATAAGTGGAAGGTAGCAAGCACTGTGTGGCAGCTTCCTCTGGCTCCCACCGCTGTCTTCCAAACCTCGCAGCTTCCCAGCGTGGGCAGCGATGATTGTGGAGCTGCTCTGACTTGCCCTCTCTGTGGAGGTGGTGGTCAGGTTTCTGACAGCAAACGTGGAGAAAAACAGAAGCAAATCAAGGGAAAGGGGGAGAACCCAGCCTCCATTTCAGGTGGTTCCCGCATTTGACCTAGCTGTACCTCCAGAGAGTTGACAGACCCTCTCAATTGCCTGTGAGCACCTGCAGTTCTCCTTCTGGTGTTTTAAAAATAGTTCCCAATTTAGGAAGGAATTCCAGGGGTCTTCCCTTGTTTTGACAGGTGCATGACCCAGTAATTATAAAATGTTCTTTGCAGGAACATCGTCTTGAGCAACCCAAAGAAGAGGAACGCACTGTCACTAGCAATGCTGAAATCTCTCCAGAGTGACATTCTTCATGAAGCCGAAAGCCAAGATCTGAAAGTTATTGTCATTTCAGGTATTAATCTGATATCCGTCCTCAGTGTTCTGCAGGACCCAGAAAAGAGTTCTCAAAATTCTTCGGTTAACTGAGGCATTCCCTCACTTAATGGGAGAATTGTTTTAAAACTCCTTTACAAGAACATTAATTATGGAAAACTCGTGTGTAGTGGGAGCCTTGGTCCTAACACTGTGGAAATTATAGTGAAGACTACTGTGCAGTGAAAATATATGTCTTTTCCTTTTTATCAGACACAAAACATTGCCACATTTGGCTGTGATGGTCTGCCCATCAAAATCAGAGAATTGACTTCCTGGTGGACCTGATGAGATGGGTTTAATCCTAATCCTTTGGGTAGACTACCTAGTCGGCTAGGGCAGGACTGCTAGGGCATTTGATTGGTTTGTTTTTCTGTTCTTACCAAGCTTTCAACCGATATCTGCAGTCTTCTTCAAGAGAGGGTGCCATATTTTGCTCATTTCTGTCCAGGCTCTTTTTCCAGTAGGAATTTTTACCAAATTACTGGCAATGATGGTGGTGGTCTAAAAAGATAACAACGTCAGTATTTTAAAGCAGCCACAGAAAAATAAAATGGATGCTGCTCTCTGATGCACTTTTTTTAAAAATTAAGCATCAGTGTTTCTGGAGAGTGTTACCTTCTTATCAATGGTTGTATATAAATTTCCAACTGCTTTATGTGGCTAAGGGAAAATAACTAGTAGAGTCCAGCAGCCGTGTGGGTGTGACCTGGATGCAGCAAAGGCAGCCAACTTCTGAAGGACACAATTTCTGCACTTGTTTAAAGGGAATAATGTTGCCTATCAAGAAAGCCACCATGAAAGGAAAATATGAGAAAGCGTTAGCTTACCAGTGGAATCACATCTTGTCATTATTGTTAATGACAACAATAACAATAAAACCACACCCTCAGATCCCTTGTTTATATAAATAAAGGGGTTCTCTTCACACTCTCCCTTTCCCAGTGCCAACCCCGATGGGTGGCTGTTATGTGTAGACTCAATGACAGGGACACTGCATGGTGGGTTTCGATGGACTTGTATGAGTCGATACATTCAGGTCAGATCAAGTCAGATCAAGAAATAGAAGTGTGAAACCAGAGGAACAGCTCTGAAAACAAGTTGCTGAGCCTTCTGTTTGTAATTGCCTGTCTTCATCCTTTTCCACCTGTTTTCATCTGTTTCCACCACGGACCTTTCAGAGTACAGATACCTCCCCTTGTGTTGTCATCATGAAATACTGGCTGTAACTCTTCAGGATAATTGTGGTTATTCTTATCAAAATTGGGCCGTTCACTTTCTCTGAGGGTCCACAGCATCGCTACCATTGTTCGCTCAAGGTATTCAGTAGACAGGTAAGGGAACTTCTCCGCTTTGGGTGTTTACATCTTTTTCTTCTCTTTTCTCAACTGGAAACATTGGCAGCTGAGGGGCCTGTATTTTCTTCTGGGCATGACCTAAGGGAACTGACGGATGAGCAAAGCCCAGATTATCATGCTGAAGTGTTTCGCACCTGTTCTGAGGTAAGTCAGGATGACGGTCGACATTGCAAGCCTGAAAATGATAATTGTGTTAAATATGGAATTAGGCTTCTAGTTTACAGATAAGGTTTTATCTATGAGACCTACCACTGCAGAACCATGAAACCTCTGTGGTCATTGTGAATCCTTCATCCAGTGTTTGCTGTTGATCTTGTTATATGCAAGAAAGTAATATATATGCTGCTGCTGACAGTGCCACCTCCAGCTTCATGGGGGAATGTTTGTATACACGTAAGGAAGAGGTGAAGGATGGAAATATCTTTACAGAGGAAGAACCTGAGCTGATTATAATTTTTAAAATTTTAAAACAACTCTGTTAATGGGAAAGAGCATTCATAAATGGAATAAATATGATTTTTAAAATTATTTTCAAACCCTTCTTTCAACCAACCTTTATAATGACCACCTCTAAGTAGGAAAATTAAACCTCTTAATTTCGCCTCTCCTTCCTTTCTGTCTCTTTACCATATTAAGGAGCGAAATTGGCAACAGACATAGAGGAGGATGAACAGAGAGTTTGGGATGTTTTATAAATACATCAAATCAACCCCTAGATGATAAAGAAATTGAATATAGAATCCAACTTTAAGTAACACATTGTTCATTTCATGAGTATTTATTGAGCACTAATATATGTATAATACTTCAAAGAAATACAAGGAAAAAAGGTTTTCTGCCAAACTGAAACTGGAAATGTAGTTGAGAAACAAGACATATAAAACAGGTTCATAACCTGACCCTAAGATTATTTGACCTAATTTTTCACTCATTCATTGACTTATTCATTTGTTTGGTCATGAATAACTCAACAGATATTAACAAATACCGACTATGTAGACAGAGGTGAGCAACAGGGAGGTGAACAGAAAGGTGACTACGATGCCTCGCTGTCCGCCCTTTGTCTTCCTTGCCCTTCCAGAAACCCATAAGGAGATCAGATTATCGTTTTCTCATTTCATGGAGGGACAGACTGGAAAAGCGGCTGACTCGAGGCTTCATGGAAAGGTGGGAGCAAGGCCGCCTCTTTTTTGTTTCACATTAATGATGTTTATGTAACGTTCTGCTCCTGTATTTGCCAAGGCTTCGTGCTTTAGAAGTTATTTTTCTACCAATCCCCAGTATGTTTGGCCAAATAGAAGGTCATCGAAGACAACCAGTAGAGCTGTCCCTCCTCCCTCGAGGGCCTGTGTTTATCCCTCTGCAGGGGTGTCGGCAGGAACCGAGGTCTAAATGGGTTCGCAAAGGGCCACAGGGGAGCCAGGGCTGCTTCAGAGGATGGAGGCCGGGTTTCCGGGAGGCCTCCAGCCCACGATGCCCCCGGCTTACTGGAAAGACCTGTGCAGAGCCTGCACAGGACCCAGCCCTAAAGTGGTGAAATCGGAGTGAAAGTGCATTGATTTCTTTAATACTTTTCCTGAGACTATTAAATTATCCTGGATAAATAGGAGCGCCATGAACTTGTACAAGATGTCAATTTCCAAGTGTAATCAGCAGGCAGATTGGAACAGAATGAGCTAGATATTTCATTGTTCGGTTCATGCATGAGAAAATTTGATTTTAGAAAGAAAGATAAAGGTACCTGCATTGGCTCAGCAGCTATAAAAACTACAGCAAATTTGTTACCAACCACAGGTACCGTGTGATGGTTAATTATTTACAAATCGGGCACAGGGCAGGTTGAGAATGAGGAGAAACCCTTGGTTATGGAAGAGCGAAAACAACCTTGTGTGAGCTGAGGGTGCGGCCCTCACCGGACACCTGTCCCTGTCTCCCTTCTGTCCTGGTGAAGCTTGAAGCTGGACACCCTGGTCCAGGGAGAAACTCTTCTTTCTCCTCACACCCGCCACTGAAATGACAGTGGGACAGGCCTCTCGCTTTTCGAAACAACACGGAACCCTCAGTAACGCTGTTCTGTTGGCTGGGTCAGAGTTAACTTTATGTGAAATTTTGGAGTAAGCAGGACCAAAAAAATTACCCAATTCAGGAGGCAAAACAGGAGGCATAATCAATTCTTGACTGTCAAGGGATTGATTATCTCAGCTTGCTTATTATCTAGATTCCCTTTGTTTTTTCTGAATTGCTCTCTAACTTTATTTAAAATATCTTATAATTATAAAAGTAACAAGTACTTATTATGGGAAATTTTGAAAATCTCTTAGAACCAAAGGAAAAGGAGGAAAAATGAATTACTGATATTATACCATGATCATACCACCTAGAGATAACTGTAATTGATATTTTGCTATCTTTCTTTTTAATCTTTTTCCATGTGTACCTATTTGTCTGAATAATCATACCTAGGTGCGATTATACTGTATAATTGTATAATATGATTATAGCATTGAACGCTTACTATGTGCCAGGTAATATTTTAAGTACTTTAGACATACGAGTTTATATAATTCTCATGTTCTGTAAGGTTGGCACTACTGTTATACCCATTTTACAGATGTGGAAGAGCGAAAACACAGTTAGGCAGCAAGTGAGTGAGAGAGTGGGCATCAGACCCCAGCAGCCTGGCTCCAGACCACCACCCAGCCCCAGGCCACCTTGCTGGCGCTTCTCTGGGAAAATTCCGTAACGAGAACACAACGTTCCATTAAATGGATATTGTTTAGTTTGCATAGCCACTTTTTATTTTTATCTATGTATATTACTTATAGTTTTTTACTCTTATAAAATAATGATTCGGTGAACATCTTTGTGCAGACAGCTTTTTACCCTACTTCAGCTTATGTCTCGGAAGTAGAATTCCTATAAAAGGTATGAGTATTTTGAATGCTGTTGGTGTAGGCTGGATCCCCTAAGCATTTTCCCGCCAGGTTGCGTGGGATCCCAGCCCCTCATAGATGGCGGCCAGGAGCCCATACTGATCAGCTCTACTCACAGTCAGATGACTTTTCATAAGTAACTTCAGCTCGTTAGGTGACAGACGACACTCAGAGCTAAACAAAATCTGTTCCTTTTTTGCTGCAAGACTTTAGACATTCTTGCTCGTTCCTCCATGCCGTCGCAGTCCTCTGAGAATGACTCTGTAGTAAGCACCCCCTCCTCACCTGCAGTGCACGAACCCCCTAACCCCAGGAACACTTTGGGGTACGGGTGTGTCCGTGTGCATTCTTCTAGGGAGAGGGGCATTGCATTTATAAGATCCTCAAAAGGCAACCCCCCTAACAAAGTCAAGAACCCCTACTCTCGCGTATGATGTTCTATCCTTCAATGTATCATTAGTTATTTTACACAAAGCTGACAAATATCAAATGTTTATGAAAACAGAAGGTCCGTTCTTCAGGCACAATCTTCAAATCAGTGAAGGTGCGTTCTCTTTGAGCTGCCACCTGGGAAACAAGGCCAGATGTCACTGCTCCTTGCCACCCTCCCTGCTGGGTTCAGAGAGCAACTGTTTATAAATTGAAGTTACCATAGCAGCACAGTCTGTCTAGAGGGTCATGAAGAAATGGAGAAATAAACAAGTTGTTTCGTGAGCTTCCAAAATAAGTTGAAGTTCTGGAGATTCACGGGAGGGAGGGGCGTCCCATGAGCAAGCTGGCGCCCCCTCTCTGTGCCCATGGCTCTGTTTCAGGAATTTTGTTTATTTGATGACAGCGGGGTGTTCCCAGCATTTTAATAGAATTGAGAGACTATTCATGGTGGTAATTTGAGCAGTAATGACTAAGGAAATTGCCTTCCAGTCCCTTTTCCACCTTAATTTTTCAAGGAAGTACCAAATACCAGTTTCAGACTTTTGACATGAGGGCTCCGCGCAGGCACCGTTAGAACAGAACGGTTTGGTTTGTGCCCCGGAGATCGCAGTCTGCGCTGTCCTCCAGATGGGTTCGTAGGGGAGCAGTCTGAGGGGACTGCCGCCTCGCAGCGGCGACGTGCTGGAGTGGAGGGACCAGTGACTTGGGGTCCCACAGATGCGGGTTCACACCCCACAGCGAGCGCTTGCGGATCTTGTGGCCTGAGGTGAGTTACTTCCCCTCTGAGCCTTCGAGTCCTGGTTTTAAAACAGGGCTCCTTCCTCCTGGGGTCTCAGGAGACCACATTGTTTATTCTGGTTCATCGTGGGTATTTCATGCAACTCAGTTCTCTTTGTGCCTCACTTCTTTGACCCTTTTTTCATAGAATGATACACTGATGCCTGTAAAAAGCGTTCTGAAAACAGTAAATTCATATCAAATACTAAGCATTAGTGCTGCCCCTCACTCTTGGCTGAAAGTGAACTGGCTGTGTTTGCTCCTTCAGGTCATGATGCTGATCCAGAACCATCCCGTCCCCATCATTGCCATGGTGAACGGCTTGGCCACTGCTGCCGGGTGTCAGCTGGTTGCCAGCTGTGACATCGCCGTGGCGAGCGACAAGTCGTCTTTTGCCACCCCGGGTGTGAACCTGGGGCTCTTCTGCTCCACCCCCGGGGTCGCCCTGGGGAGAGCAGTGCCTAGAAAGGTAATTGAATTCCCCCCAGCACCGTCTCCACTGCGACCCTCCAGTGCATGTGAGGGTTAGCTCCAGAATTCGCTTGTTAAAAGCACCATTTGAATCAGGACGTCCTGCCCAATGCACAGCTGGCCAGATGTGCCACCACATTCCTTCTAATGTCTTGTGTGGGGGAGGGAGCAGCCAGCTGCTGTTCCTCTGCAGCTTTTCACAGTGGGCTTCGACCACATTTCACCCTTGCCTCGGTTTTTGGATTTCTTTTGTTTGTTTTCATAAAGGCACACATTTGGGGCCGGTCCGGTGGTGCAGCGGTCAAGTGCGCACATTGTGCCGGCCGCCTGGGGTTCACCAGTTCCGATCCCGAACTGCATGTGGGTGCAGACACAGCACCGCTTGGCATGCCATGCTGTGGTAGGTGTCCCACATATAAAGTAGAGGAAGATGGGCTCAGATGTTAGCTCAGGGCCAGCCTTCCTCAGCAAAACGTGGAGGGTTGGCAGCAGTTAGCTCAGGGCTAATCTTCCTCAAAAAAAAAAAAAAATCACACATTTTTGTAATCTTATTTGAAGTGCACTTGAGACTCAGTTTTGTTGCACTGAATGGTTGCCCATGAGAGATAATAGCATGGTGACAGATGCCGGTGTCAAGAGGCCAGGAGCCAGTGCACTGGCTTGTTGTTGGCTGACAATCTGTCTGGTTCTAGAATGGACTGAAAGTAGCTGAGATATGTATATATATCTATATATATAGACTGCGTATGTCAGGTTCACGACAGTTGCGTTTCAGGAAGATGCGTATCCGTGCATGGTATGTTGACTCTGCCCCAGAAGGAGCCATATTATGAGAGCTGTTATGTCGTTGGTAACCAAAGTGAAGTCCGTTTTCTTCACGAAGCTTTCTTCTCTTCCTGTAACATCGAGAAATTATATTTACTAAACATCTCTTAAGTGGAAACCAGTGGTTTCCCTGTTCTAGAGAAAAATACTTCCTCATTCTCAATTGGAAATCTATTTTTAAAAGGGGAGAGGGAGTCATATGCCAGAGCAAGTACAGAACCTAAAGTGCTTTCTAGAATACAGTATCCATTTTAGCATCAAGTACAAAAATTAGCAGTTGCTCATATGCCTGAGACGCAAAAGAAATGAGACCCAACGGAAGTCAGCCGACAGGACCAAGAAATTTAGAGAAGACTCCTTTCTTCCATGTGCCTCCTCATTAGTTTTCCCAGAAATGTGTGTTCATAAGGAAATTCTGAAGACAGATGCCTGCAAGCACACACACTTAGGAAAATGGGCTCCACAATGCAAAAGTGACCTGTTCAAACACAACAGCTAAAATGTCCTCAGACTAGGTGGTGTTTGGATCCTGTCAGGATACACATTTACCTTAAATGTATATATACTAATTCAATAAATAGTTCTTAAGTCTCTACTTTGTGCCAGTACATTAGATTAAAACGCATTGTAAATATATTGTCAGAGCTTATTAATAAACTGTCTCATAATTGTGCAAGTGACATCACAAGGCCTTCTGCATTGTCAAAGGCAGCTGTGCTGGTTAGCCTACCTGCAGCTGTTCCTCTCCTTCAACACCTGACATTCTGGAAGGTTCCATGTCAAGGCATTTGAAACCTTTAAATCAGCCCTATTGTCAGGATAAGAATCCATTCTTTCTTAAAACATACTTTTTAAACCAAGGCTTAAATTGAATCCTAGAAACTTAAACATTACCTCATCTTTGTCAAATTTTAATTAGTTCTTGAGAAAAAAGAGGGGGGAAGTGTGACAAAATCATGCCTTAAGTTCCCAGGAAGCCCAATTCTCAGAATCACACTGCATGATTGCCCATGTGTGACAGAAGAAGGGGCAGGACGTTATAAGAACCAAAGTAGCTTTTACCTTCCAAAGACGGTTTCAGCAAGGGCCAGGCCTGCTCAGGAGACAGGCGAAGAATCTCCAATGTTTCCCGACTCTCTGCGCTCCACGGGGTCTGATGCCCGGGAGGCCTGTGGATCCCTGTGGTCCGTCCCAGCATTCTTGTTTTCAAGCCTTCAGAGTTTTTTCTTGCTTGGCCGTCTGAAAGTGGTTCCGAGTTGTCATCAGATGCCCCTCACCTCGGGCTCGTTGATGTTGGGCTACGTGGAGGCATGAAGCAGATAGAGGGTTTGAGGTCAACACCAAGCTGAAATTGCAGTACTGACAAAGGGAATCTAGTAGGAGGAGAAGTCTGTGAGAACTTTCCGCCTCTGTCAGGTTTCTGGATCTGCAGCTCTCACCTTGTGGCCCCCTTTAGAGGAAAATAGGGGTTCACAAAAATCTAAACCTGCCTGTCATCATTGCTCGCTTGCACCCATACGAACCCATCCATACAGAGGCCGTCAACTGTGTGTGGGTGGTGGCGCATGTCCGCGTGCACATCCACAGGGACACAGCAGGTGCTTTTGCAGCCTGGCCTGGACAGGACGCTCGGCCCTTTGCACACCAGCTGAGGCCACATGTGTGGGTCACCAGTGCCCTCTGCTGGTCACCATGGGAAACTGCGCAGCCGTGCTGGAGACCGAGGGCTGCAGTTTGCTGCTGGGAGCAGAAACAATGGAGTGGAGCCCTTGTGTTCAAGGCAGACTGAACCTGGGCGTGAATAATTTTCCACACTTGTGAAGTGTTTCTCTCCTCCGGCGTGAGTTAAATAATACATCTTTATGGCACCATATAAACAACCTGCCTGGTACAGCTGCTCCCTTCCCCAGTCAGAGCTGGCTGGCCTTGCTCAGAAATGTAGGGCCAGCGCCTCAAGCAGTTGCATCACGGGAGAGCATCCACAAGATCAGACCCCCTCTTCCCAAACCAGTCATTTCTCCATGGCAGAAACACTCGCTTCCGCCTATTCACCATGGTAACGTTGTGTATCTGCAGAATCGGATTTCCTGAGAGTCTAATTAGAACAGAGCAGAACTTCCAAGCCGGAAAGAGTGTTAAAGTTTTGCTGCTCAGCCTGGTGGGCTGACCACCAGAGCGCCTGGGAGAGACACAGGGTCTCAGGCCCGCCCAGGCCCGCCGCATCAGAATCTGTTAATAGGGGTCTCTGCATTTCTCAGGTGCCCGCTGAGCATCCAGCACTGTGGGGTGAGCCTCACCTGCACTTTCTCTAATCCTCACGATTCTGCAGGAGGATGGAGGGCTTGCTCCCGTTGTTCAGATGAGCAAACCGACTCGGAGCCTTTATTCGCTTCCTTAAGGCCCTGTGGTTAGTGAGTGGCCCATCTGGGATTGGAAGTCGGGGACATCCGACTCCAGACCCAGGTCCCACTGCCCCGGGGTGAGCCTGGGCCTCAAGGGCCTTTGGTCACTTTTTAAGTGGAAGCCCTGGGAAGGGGACTATGAACCCACCACCAGTCAGGGCGACCCAAGAGGGGCCGCCACAGGAGCTGATTGGCGAACGGGGTAAGAGGGCATGTTTTCTTCTCTTTCATGTGAAGTTTCGAGAGCACACGACACAGAAACTTTAAGTAAAGATGGTACTGATTCACTAGAAAATAAACAGGCTTCTTTTTCCTAGGGAAAAAGAATCTAGTCTCTTTGGGTAAAATCACTGTAGATCAATATGGTGCTAGATAGTATTATCCCACTAGGCAGATTGGGAAACTGAGGCCCAGAGAGGGGCGTAGACTAGGTAGACTCCCTCTCGTGGGCACTGACATTTCCGTGCTCTGAGGAAGATGCCGTCTGTCTCTGGCAGGAGTTTGGGTATTGAAGACTTCATGGGTGACGGGTGAGATGCTATCTGAGGATGCAGATAACTGGGCCAAGGTCGCAGGGAGGTCAGGAGAGGGGCATGGACAGGGTGGGATGTAGGGGGCAATGGGTCACGAGGAGATGCCTTAATAATCGCATGTGTTTCCTCCCTCAGGTCGCCTCAGAAATGCTTTTTACTGGGGAGCCCATTTCTGCTCAGGAGGCCTTGCTCCATGGGCTGCTCAGCAAAGTGGTGCCCGAAGGGCAGCTGGAGGAGGAGACCATGAAAATAGCGAAAAAGATTGCCTCCTCGAGCCGTCACGTGGTGTCTTTGGGCAAGGCCGCCTTCAACAAGCAGCTGCGCCAGGACCTTAGAACGGCCTACCACCTCACCTCCCAGACCATGGTGGACAACCTGGCCCTGCCGGATGGGCAGGAGGGGATCAAGGCCTTCATCCAGAAGAGAAAGCCCATCTGGGCACAGTGAGCCGGCCTTCCCAGAGGAAGGGAGCGGAGAGAGAACAGTGCTCAGGAAGCCCCCACCCCTGCCTTCTGGGCCCCAAACACCACTGCTGCCTTATGATTATAATGGAAGACAGCCTGCTTTTCTAACATTAGTAATGGCTGCACTGCATGTGTCTGTGTTAAAAACCACAGTCCCATGGGGAAAGGATGGAATGGAGAGTGAGAAGTGCTTAAGGGTAGTGAGCGCCTCTGCTGGCTGGCTCTGGCAGAAGGCTGCTATTTGGTATGCCCCTCCATAGAAGCTTCCATGAGGGACCACCCTGACACGGGAGGAGGTGACGATAAACCGAGACGTGAAAGAAGGATGCCAACCAGACCTTGCTCTCAGAAACGTTCCCTAAGGTGGAGGTTGTTCTGGTTCCCCCAGAGAGCTGAAACATTTCCCATCTCCACGAGATACTCTCCACACTGAAAATCTTCTTGAGTCTTGAGAAATCATCATGCCTATGGCCTTGGAATAAACTTATATGATTTTAAATGATTATTTAGAGAGACTGCTGATTTTATCTTCCCACCCAGACTGTAAACTATCTGAGAAAAGAAAAATACCAATTTACTCTTTCTTTGTAAGCCCAGAATGATGGACAGGTCATAGGTGCCTGATGTTCCTGTAAGGAATGTCCTGGCCGTCCAACATACTGTGAAACTGGGACCCTGGGCCAAACCTGAGGACAAACACACGGAGGAGAGGTAGGAGGGACGCAGAACACATGTTCCACCCACCGAGAATCACCTGCGCCAGGGATCTTTGCAAACTCTGCTCAGCTTCTGGTGAAGAATCCAACCTAACAGCAGACACGCGAATCCCCCGGCTGGGCTAGCGTTTGGATCATGAGCTAACATTGTTTTCTGGCTGCTGGTCCAGTATGGCCCAAGAATGTTCTAAATCTCTCATCCTCCAGCTTGCCCAGTGGACTGATCTTTTTTTTTTTTTTAAAGCAAATTTATCTTACCTAAGAGTAGAAAGGGGCCATAAATGTGATTGGTACCACTGCCAAAGATAAAGAGCATCGTGCAGCTCTACCATGGTTCCCGCTGAGCTCGCTGGGGCAGGCCTGTCTTGGTGTGGAAATCCCATCGTGTTTTCACGGGTTTCTATTGATCTTGGCAATTGTTTTCTTTGCTAGAGTTTAGAAAGGTGAAAAAGAGTGCTTTCTGGGGAAGGAGGAGCTTGTTATTAAGAGTGCTCCTCCTGAGCAGAAAGATGAGCAGAGCTGCCGTTTACTGGACACGTGGTGGGTGCTGGGTACCCTCTGCATTCTCATTTCATCCTCACCAGAACCCACACAGCAGTGCCTACAAGTATGTCCAACTTACAGATGAGTGCTTGAGACAAAGGTCAGACAGCTGAGACGGGGTAGAGTGAGGGCTCCAACCTGCCTCAGAAAGCCCTGGAAGCCCTTTCTGCTGGCCCACCCCATGGGGAGGTCCTGGGCTGGCCTGAGGCCAGCCTGAGGGATGGCTTCTCTGTGCTGCGGCAGCTCTCCAAACAAAGCAACGGACCAAGTGTCCTCGCTACAGAACGTAGCGCACAAGGGACATCAGATTTGACTACTGACAGACCACTAATGGAGTTTTCACGACGAAGCTAGCAGACAGCTGGCTGAGATTCTGAAGTAGCTTGTGAAGGACTGGGTTGTCGTGGTCTGCTCAAAAATAATGCCGTCCATGGGGCCCTACCGCTGCTTCCTCTCCAGGCACCTGCTGTGGAGGCTGCCATCTGGCCACCACACAGTGTGGAGAGGGGGTTATATACGCTCTCTGGGCCTTGGAGAAGCTAACAAAGCCGCCTCCCACATTTGGCAAACCAAAACCAAAAGTTAACTTCCCAGTTTCTGTGTGAGTCACACCAGACCCTCAAACCAGGAGATCCTGAGGCCTCTGGGCCAGCGTCCCAGCCTGCGAGCCGATGTGCGCCCAGGGACCAGCTATAAATCTTAATAGTCGCCTGTGCAGAAAATAATCCAGAAGGAAAATCTGCTCCCCAGCCTCCAGTGTCATATAATTCATCCCCTTGGCTAATAGGAATTTGGGGTTAATTTGTATCTCTGCTTCCTTCTACTGGGCTCTCGAATGAAAAGTCTCTGGTAACCACACTTGATTGCTTTTGGAAAGCCCGGTATATCCATCTTTCCCTTTGCATCATTTGCATCTCAGGGAGCTTTGCTCAGCTCAGTCCGGCAGACCACACCCCAGGAGGTCCAGGGGCTGAGCAGTCAGTGCCGTGGGTGTTCACGCTGCTCAGCCTGAGGAAGAGATCATTCTGAAGGCTGGCTGGAGCCCTGGAGAGCATGAGCCAGTGGAGCGAACGACAGGCATCAGCTCCCTGATTCACTTTACATCAGTGACCTTGGAGGGAGTTGCTGTGTGACAGCACACGCTGATTTAATGAGCCTCAATTCTTGCCAGGCAGCCCGTGAGGTAGCTCTTACTTCCCCCGGTGTATAAAAGGCTCAGAGAAGTAGAGGCATTTGCCACGGTCGAGCCAGCCTGCGGGTTTGGATCTGTGTTGTTCTGAATCCTGCGCTCCTGACTACCACGCCATATGCCTCCCAACCTTCCAAAAAGATTACCGTTCCAGCCTGGAGGGACGGACTTCCAGGGCGCTGAAAGGACACCAGTCAGAATGGCACGGCCAGGGCAGCATAGTGTTGCTTCTCGAAGGGGATTCAGGGGAGATAGCCCGATTGAACGGCAAGAGTGCCGAGGACCAGCTGTGTCACTGTGTGGAGGCGACGTGCCCTCTCTCAGCACTCAGTTTCCCTTCTGCAAAAATGACGCCTTTGGACACCCTTGTCCTGTTAGTTCTGACGTTCCGGATTCTGCAGTACCAGGTTTGGGAAACTTGCCACAAAACTTGAAACAGGTAGCTTCTGCTCAAAGAAAATGCTCTTTACAAATGGAGAAGATGGGAGATTTACCCTGAGAGGTGGTGAACCTTGCAAACACCGGGTTACACTTGAGAACGAGAAAGCCAGATGCTCAGAGCTTTGGGGCCACACCTGAACCTTTTGACGATGCCATCGGCTAGGAAGACCCTACAGGAGGTGGACTCTGTCGAAATTGGCGATTGCCCTTCATTTTGTCCAGGGGCATTATTCTCCCCTTCTCTCTCTCCTTCCTGTGAAAACCCACTGCACTAGGAGTCGCGCTTCAGAAGTGTGGCCCATGGACGAGCTATCTGTTCAAATGCAGGTTCCTGGGCTCCACACTTGCCTTACTGACTCACAAATTCTGATTCCTGGGGCCCAAAGGTATGCATTTAAAAAAAGATTTCCAAGTGATTCAGCTGCACCCCACAATGTGGGACCCCCTGCCTCAGGGTGGAGGTGAGGGGCATCTCTCCAGTAGTACCTGCCTTTAAAAGTCGAAGCAGTGCGGCTTCTGTGATGATGTTATGATCAGTCACTGTTGGCTGGGAGAGGGATATGGGGAGGCTGAGCCCTCCAGGACCCTCTGAAAATCTCCCACGGGGGCAGGTCGCGGGGTCTTCACAGGCCTGGGAGCTCATGCTTCCGAAGCCCCACCCCACATCACATAAAACAGCAAAATGCACCCCTATTCCACACTAAATCTAATTCTCTTTAGGGAAAGAAGTTGAATAATTTGCTTTCAAATTTAGTTTTTCATATGTGATTAATTAAGGATTATTATTTCTTGGCAATCATGAAGTAGGCGAGAGTTAAATTCAACATTATTGAAGTTGACGTTAAAGTTAATAAAATAGTAAATTTCAGCCTTGTAAGGGTTTTTCTTTCATATTTTGGAGCCCAAAACTTATTTTTCAGGTCCCAAACAGAGGCGTGTGAAAAGCTGGCAGGCATCAATACGGTACAGTGTCTCGGATGGAATGGCCCGGCCCCTTCCGGCTCCCCAGTGAGGGGAGGTGCCTGTTCCACGGGGAAAGGGGGAGGAAGGGAAGTGGTGGGCCAGGTCAATCTTTCTGTTTTATGCTGCATGTTTTCAATATTTTCCTAGCCGAATTTTGTATTAAGATGGCAATTCCCAGTTTTAGAAATTTCTGGGAATTTAGAAAAAGAAAGCTGTATTGGTCACAGTGTAGCATGACATGGATTCTGATTCCTAGTGACCCTGTGGACAGCCTGGTCCTTTTGCACCATCCTCTCACCTTCCGGTGCTGTATCAACGCTCCGCTGCTATTCCTAGGGTTTTCATAGCCAAGTTTTTTGAAAGTGGGTGGCCAGGTCCTTCTTTCCAATCTATCTTAGTCTGGAAGCTCCACTGAAACCTGTCCACCGTGGGTGGTCCTGCTGGTATTTGAAATCCCGATGGCACAGTGTGTCACAGTGTGACCACCAACAGACAGGTGGTGTGGTTCCCTGACCGGGAAACAGACCCGGGCTGCAGGGGAGAAGGCACCGAATCTTAACCATTAGACCCCAGGGCTGACTCATCTTAGACTTTATCAACATTTAAATTTACGTAATGATTGCTCTGTGCCAGGCACTGTTTTAAGAATTTTACATGGGGCTGGCCCCATGGCTGAGTGGTTAAGTTCACGCGCTCCACTTCGGCGGCCCAGGGTTTCACCAGTTCGGATCCTGGGCACGACGTGGCACCACTCATCGGGCCATGCTGAGGTGGCATCCCACATAACACAACCAGAAGGACCCACAACTAAAACATACAACTATGTACTGGGGGGCTTTGGCGAGAAGAAGGAAAAATTAAAAAAGAATTTTACAGTTATTAATGCATTAGTCTTCCCCAAAGCTCTATGAAGTAGGTTTTATTAACCCCATTATACAGATGATAAACTAAAACAACAAGGATATTAAATGACTTGCCCCTTGTCCCACAGTTAGTAAGGGGCAGGGCGGCTTTGAAACCCAGGGGCTCTAGTTCTGGAGAACAGCCTTGTAGTCACCACACAGGCTGCCCTGCTGCCCTCTCACCAGCTTTCAGGTGGGCACTACATCACATTACTTTCTAGATACTTCTGTTGTGCAAGAAGCACATTGAATTTTTGTTTTTCCAAAACATATGCAACTTTATAACCAGAGCAGTACAAAACCAATAATGATTCTAATAGAAATAGCACGGCTAAATGTGCACGGGCATCTGCGCTCAGCAACAGCTACGGTCCCTTCTGTGCCATCTTAAAGTCTGGGGCTTGAGCCGCACACAAGGCCACACAGGCTAGTGTGTCATCCTCCCTGCCCCCAACAAAAGTGCTGAGCAAAGAGCAGGCCTTCAGAGAGATTTGCTAGGTCCAGTTAAATGTTGCCAGAGCGCAGCTCCCCGTCAGCCACATGATGTACATGGGTTTTTAAAAATTTTCTGGTCACATTTTCTGAATGAGTTTTGGAAAGTTAAATAGCTGCGCAGTATGTGAATGAAATCAGTGTTTGCTTTGTAGGGCCAGGGAAGTTGGTACGTACTTAATTGTAAATGTCGGTCGGCATTCAGGTGTCACGTTGCTCCTCTTGGTGACGTCAGACCCAGGGGTTCCGTGGAGCCCGTTTTCCTTCTTTAAAACATCGCTAAGCACATTTTGGTCTCCAAATGCTTACACTTCTGGTGATAAAACATTCTCCACATAGAGAGAGAGAGAAAATACATGGTTGGGTGGCGAGGGATGGAAACATCTTAACAGAATTGCTCTTGATAGAATCTACTGAAATGGTTAATATGCTTATTTGAACTTAATCCAAAATTGTAGCATTTGTTAGGGTTGTCAAAGTTATTTTTCTGATCATTTGATAATTTTCCCCTAAAGATAACCAATCTGTCCAGTTTTTACCAAGGAAGTTTCCTCAAGGCCTTTAGTTCCTGAATCAGCCATCCCTCCCTTTCGCTGAGGGAGGATGGACAGTTGCCAGGGTCGTTCACTGTGCTCCTCACCCCCACCCAGCCCACACCCCACAGGGACCCTTCACATCCCTTCTCCTGCTGGTGGAGGCCCCCAGGGTGACCTGTCCCTCACAGGTTACCATGTTCCCATGAAAGCAGACGTAACTTCCTTTATTGTAGTTGCATGGATTTTTTTTTTCTGGGTCTGTTTCCAAAAGAAACAGTCAAGAGGTGATTTTAAAAACATCAATTCGGGGCTGGCACCATGGCCAAGTAGTTAAAGTTCCACGAGCTCTGCTTTTGCGACCTCCTTCGTGGGTTTGGATCCTTGGTGCGGACCTACTCCACTATCAGCCATGCTGTGGAGGCATCCCACATACAGAGTAGTGGTAGGTTGGCATGGATGTTAGCTCAGGGCTAATCTTCCTCAAGCAAAAAAAAAAAAAAGGAAGGTTGGCAATGAATGTTAGCTCAGAGTGAATCTTCCTTAACACACACACACACACACACACACAAACATCAATTCATGTATTTATTGAGAATCTACTTAATTGCGAAGCACTGAGTGAGGCACCATAGGATGGGTTTTTTTAAAGGTAAGACAATTATGACCCTCCAGGAACTTAGTCTAGTAGATGAGATAAACCACGACGATGTTAAAATTCAAATACAAAATAGTTATCATGGGACAAGAGTCGGATAGCTGGGTGGCCTCTGAGCCGCCCCATTATTACTAGCTGCGTGTGGGGCCAGGTGTCTCACCTCTTTGAGTCCCAGCTTCTTCATGGTTATAATGGGGAGGATAATAACACCTACCTCCTATGTGGCTGGGAGCATGAAATTAAACATATATGTGTAGCAATGCTGATGATGACCACCCCCCACCCCATGTCACCTGCATGGTGCTGGGCAGTTTCCACAGGTAACAGCTTTCCCCAGTTGTGGACCAAACTGTGTGCCCTCAAAATTCATATATTTGAGCCCTACCCGCAATGTGACTGTATTTGGAGAGGAGGCCTCTAAAGAGGTAATAAGGTTAAATGAGGTCATAAGGATGGAGCTTATCCATTGGGACTGGTGTCCTGATAAGAGGAGGGAGAGACCGCGTGAGGACACAGAGAGAAGGTGGCGTCTGCAAGCCAAGGAGAGAGACCTCAGGGGAAATCAAATCTGCTGACGCCTTGACCTTGGACTTCCAGCCGCCAGGACTGTCAGGAATAAATGTCTGCTTTTGAGCCCCCAAGCCTGTGCTATCTTGTTATAGCAGCCCCAGCTGACTACGACCCCCGACCCCCGCCCCAGCCCAGGCACTTTTGTGTCTGCCTCTCTGAGGGTGACTTCTGGCACTCCAGGAGCTAGCTCAGCCTTCAATAGGCCAACCCAGAAGTAGGAGGAGTGAAGGCCTCGAGGGACACCCCCCAAGGAGCAGCCAACGGGTGTCCACGGATAAACGCCCCCTCCCCGGTCATCTGAGGGACCAGCTCTGAGACGTGGTACTGTGTCTTCCCCGAAGACCCAGCAGGGTTGAGACCCAGTATCGTTCACGCAGACGCGATGGCCCTTTCTCCTTCCCCGCCCCAGCTCGTCCCACCCCTCACCGTGCTTCCTGGGCTCACTTTCCAACAAACAGTCTTCCCATGAGTCCTTGATCCGGGATCCGCCCCTGGGGGAACCCAAACGCAGTCCAGAGGCGGAGTCACACTAGCCACTCGGCGAACATGCTCGTCCCCTAAGAAGTGAAAACAAGATTCACCAAAGGAAGATCTGTCACAAGGAAGCCATTCGATTGGCTGCTAAGTGGTCACCAGGCAATAAGCATTACAGGAATCAAGAGGGAAAATCCATTTTGACTCATTAGTGAGCAAATGGAATCGTCTACATAGAGCTTTGGCTTTTCAAGCCAGAAAGGGTCTCAGCTCTCAGTTAACCTAGGAATTGTGACATCACAAAGACAAGGTCTAAATGACTGAAAAGATAAAGACCTGGCCGGTATTGGGGCAAAAACAGGACCCTCTGACCAAAAACTGGAGCGGCTGCCCTCAATCATCCCCTCAGAGCTGTCAGGGTAAGCCACCCCATAACTGCTCTAAGCTTTCTGGAAGTTTATTTAGCAACGTTCGGGAAAAAGGCAGAGCGGGTGTGTTGTCCCCAAACTCGCCTCAGAGTCCCCGAGAGAAGGAATTTATGAGCCGCCGCATCTCCAGTCCCTTCCTCGACATTTATTGGCTCTTTGATGAATGTTAGAGCAATTTTTCTGTCAACAGTTTCTCATTAGGGGCCTGGTGGTGTTCTTCCTGACCGTTATTATTTTGCCTGGTGACTGTGAGGAGAAGAGGTTCCGCTTAGACACCATCCATCTTTGCAGCAGCAAAGAGCTCAGATAATCCCACTTAAATACTCCCCCTGTGCTGACAGCCACCCCAGGGCACGCACAGAGAATTGAGACAAATGGCCAGGCCTTAACGAATGGCTCCTCTTCTGGCATCATGCCTCTCCGTTCCTCTCAACACATATTTCAAGTTTGATTCTGTTTCTTTTTAAAATAAATTATGGAGAACTTGCTGGTGAAATAATCACCAGGACTTACTTCTTAGAGACGACAGTTCTTACTAGGGATAACAAGGCTTCCTTGGAAAAATCTGGAACCAGCAGGTGTTGGAAGATGGTGGCCCGTTTCCTTGACAGACTGTTTATTTCACTCCTCAAATGCGCTGTCCCAACACAGTGACGGCATAGGAGAGCACTGGGGGACGTCTGAAGTTGCTGCCATTCATTAGCATCGATTTCAACCTTCAGACGCCCTCCTCCACCTTCCCTCCCACCAGGTACGCGAATCTAACCTGGAATGGCACATTTTTAAAAGAGGTTTTTTATTATGAACAATTTCAGACATATGGAAAAGTCGAGAGAAAGTGTCAAACTACCACATACACATTACCCAGCTTTAACAATTATCAATCGATAATGTATCAATTATCATGGTCCCTTTTGTATTCTCTGCAGGTCCCTGCTCCTCCCCCACCTAGTCTAGTCTGAAGAGAATCCCAGAGTCGCCTCATTAGAACAACAGACGCTCCCATCACCCAAGAAATTCCAAGGGACTTAGGAGCCCTGTGTCAGGAACCCGGTCAAAGACCAAACATCAGAACAAAAGATGCTCCTAGTGCTCCTGTCACTTAGGAAATGACAAGGATCTCAGGAGCCCTGTGCCTGCAGCCAAGCAGAGACCAATACTGAGATTTCCTCTTCTCTCATGACAACACACCCATGCGCGTCCCTCCTTGGCCTCACAGTCCGGCTCCTGCTCCCTGAAATCACTTTCCAAAATGAGCGGCCTGCCTGCAAGCCTGAGGCTCAGGCTCACCATCTCAGGGACCCCGGGCTAAGATGCCAACCCAGGAAGGGCCAAAGGGACCTCCAGGAAGGACGACGAAGGGCAGCCCCAGCGTGCCGGCTGGGCAGGAGGCCTGGAGGGTAATCAGCCGAGAGGGAGGAGAACAGAGACTCAGGAGGGGTGTGTCCAGGAGGGAAGCTGAAGCTCACAGACTTGACGTGGGACGGGACGGACCGCATGAGAAGCCGTCCTGAGAGGCCAGGAGGAGGGGACTGGAAGAGCACGTCCCTGTTTACGTGGAATCGGAGGTCATCCCCACTGTCAGACGGCAGCTCCTGGGGTAAACGCACGACTGTAGAGGGAAAGTTGGTAACATGGATCAACACCCTTAAAAAAATGGCCAAACCCTGCACCCTCACGAAAGAATCTGAAATGGAGAACTTTATGAAAAACTGTGAAGCAGCATGTTATTTATACCAGCATTAAAAAAAACAAGAAGCAGAATTGCCTTGAGTCCAACCCAAGTGCAGTAATTCCAGGACATCTGCTGGAAGGAGGATCATGAAGCCATGAAGTGACAGGCTCAACGCCAGCTGGGAGCCCACATTGTCCAGAAGGAGGACGGGAGCGGGAGACGGGGAGATCCTAACTAAATCTGCAGCTTGGTTGACAGTAGTGCGCCACTGTTCATTTCTTAGTCGTGGTGACTATGGTGGTGTGAGGGGTTCACAGAGGAAGCTGCATGAAGGAGATGGGGGAACTCCATACCAACATTGCAACTCTCCTGTAAATCTAGAACTCTTTCCAAATACAGTTTTAAGTGATATGTGTCTGTATTTGGGTTCTCCAGAGAACCAGAACCAGTAGGATGGATGGATGGATAGATTAGATAGATAGATATAGATAGATAGATAGATAGATAGATAGATAGATAGGTGATTGATAGATATCTCTAGAAAGAGATTTATTACAAGGAATTGGCTCATGCAATTGTGGAGGCTGAGAAGTCCTATGATCTGCAGTTGGCAAGCTGGAGGCCCAAGAAAGCCAGAGAGCCGGTGGTGTGGACTCCAGGCCGAGTCTGCAGAGAGAACAGGAGAAGACTGCTGTGCCCGTCACGCAGTCAGGCAGAGAGAGAGAGGCTGAATCCTCCTTTGCTCCCCCTTTTGGTTCTGTTCAGCCCTCAGCGCACTGGATGAGGCCCACCTACCCTGGGGAGCGCCACCTGCTTTCCTCAATGCACCACTTCAAATGCTGATCTCTTGTGGAAACACCCCCATGGGCATACCCAGAAATCATGTTTACCCAGATGCCTGGGCATCCAGTGATCCAGTCAAGTGCACACGTAGAATTAACCGTCACAGTATCCAGGTGGGTATTTGCACAGCCCAGCCCTGCAAAGAGATGGACTCAAGAGGGATCACAGTATTTGCCTCTGAGGAGAACAACTGGGGAGTAGGGCTCAGGATGAGACGGAGACTTACCTTTGCACTAAATATCCTTTTGCACTGTTGTAATTTTTTTAAACATGTACACATAGCACTGCATTCAAAAAATTAAAAGTGCTTTCCACACTAGCCAGGGGGGGTCCATACAGTGTTGGTCTGGGTTCCCACCATAACTTGAAGGGAAACTCACAGTGTCCAGAGCCCTGGGTGTCCCACAAACGGCGGAGGAGGATGTCCTCCCCTTCCGCACAGGAGGAGCCCACTCAGGTGGCAGCCGCCTTGACTTCCAAATGGAACAGCACATCTACAAAAGGCAAAGTGATGGCATCTACATCGTAAAGCTGAAGAGAACCTGGGAAAAGCTTCCACAGGCAGCCCGTGCCATTGTCGCCACTGAAAACCCGGCCGATGCCAGTGTCACATCCTCCAGGAATGCTGACCGGTGAGCTGTGCTCAAGTTTGCTGCTGCCGCTGGAGCCTCTCCCACTGCCAGCTGCTTCTCTGCTGGAACCTTCACTAACCAGATCCAGGCGGCCTTCCAGGAGCCGTGACTTCTGGTGGCAACTGACCCCAGGGCTGACCGCCAGCCTCTCACAGAGGCCTCTTGTGTTAACCTGCCCGCCACTGCTCTGTGTGACACACTCTCCTCTGCTATGTGGACACCACCATCCCTGCAAACACAAGGGAGCCCACTCAGCAGGTCTGATGTGGTGGATGCTGGCCCAGAACTTGAGTGCACGTGTGGCACCATCTCCTGTGAACACCCACAGGAGGTCGCACCTCATCTCTACTCTACAGAGATATTGAAGAGATTGAAAAGGAGAGCAAGCCACTGCTGGAAAGGCTGTGACCAAAGAGAGAATTCGGGGTGGATGGACTGCTCCAGCTCACCCCGAGGCCCCACGCTGTCTGAAGGCATGCTGGTCCCCTCTGTGCCCGTCCAGCCATTTCCTACTGAGGATGGAGCCCTCAGCCTGCCACCGAAGACTGGGCCGCAGCTCCCACTGCACAGGCCGCTGAATGGGTAGGAAGAACCACTGACTGCTCTTGAGTTGCTCTTCCACAGACTCTTGAACAGAAAACGGAAATCAGGGAGATGGAAAATAAACAGCTTCTGAAAAATAAAAAAATGAAAAGTAACAGTCACGGGCACGCACAACATCCCAGGGCACTCCCAGGACATGTTCTCTGGGAGGAAGAGGGTGAGAGGGGGTTTCACGTGCAGGAAGTGCCCTGGGAGAACAGCTGTGGAAGGCCAGAGCGGGAAGCAGGACTGGGCAGAGGCAGGAGTGCAACTGCAGCCGACCCCTGGGGACCTCCAGAGCCCAAGGGCCCACCAGAGCTCTCCCCCATTGGGCGGAAATGGCCGGGCCATCGTCCCTGCCTCGGCCAGCCCCTGGACGTGCGCTGTGCTGGGCAGAGCTGAACCTGTCCAGGTGGCTCCCTGCAGCAGAGGCAATCCCTGAAGGGGGCGGCCAAGGGCAGCAGCTGGGACAACAAGCTCTTTCCCCAGAAAGGGCGACGCATCCATGTGTCCCTCACAGTAACAAAAAATGCTCATAATAACATGCAAAAATGATTATGATGCGTTCAGAGAAAAAAAAACCACAGAACAAATTTTTATCTACAGGATGCAAGCACTGGGCAAAACAAACAATGAGAACAATTTTGTCTGTGTGTATGAGGGAGACCATCACTGAGCTAACATCTGCGCCAATCTTCCTCTATGTTATGTGGGACCCCGCCGCAGCGTGGTTTAATGAGCCACGCCAGGTCTGCGCCGGGATCCGAACCTGCGAACCCCAGGCCACCAAAGCGGAGTGTGCAAACTTAATCACTACACCACCGGGCCAGCCCCAGTCAAAACAATTTTAAAAAACTTTTTCTTTTCCTAGAAAAAGGGCTAGAAGAAAATATTCCAAAATGTAAAATAGTCACTTTTTCTGGAAGTGGGACTGCACATAATTGTTGTTCTTCCTTTTACTTTTCTATACTTTTTCCAAATTTTCTTTAATTTCTAAGTAGTCAAAAATTTAAAAAGAGCATCCTCGGATCTGCTTTTGTTGTTTCTATCATTAAACTTTGATGCTGTTTCATGAATTAATTCTGTGCTTATAGAGAAGGACGAGGAATATTTAATCACTATCAAATAATGTGTAAACTTTCAGGATACTATATAAGAAAGAAATTGATCCTATAAGCCAATATACTCCCCGCCCTTTTAGGCAATCACATATTCAGCAGAAAAAAATCAGCGGCCCCAAACACTTGTTAGATCCGAATGACCTGGGTCAATTGTTTCTTGTTCTCAGCACATAAAGCTGCAGTTATGAATTTCTCCAGCAGAGGGCGCTGGTAGCTCAGCTCTAGATGGAAATCTTGGCTGCTTACCTTGCTGCTAGGTTACTGAGATGGGGAAATTGCATTGGCTTTTTAGTCCTGAGAACAAAAGTTATTTATTTAGCAGGTTATATAGCAAAGTTAGTTCAATGTCAGATCAGCTGAAGCAGGGGAGAGGAAGACGTTCATAAGTATAGTTGTCTGCTTATTATTTTTATTATTATTTTAAATAATAGAGTCGGCTGACCTGCTAGTGTGCTCCCTGATCTCAGACTGTGCCATAAAGATTGCTTCTTGGGGCTGGCCCTGTGGCCGAGTGGTTAAGTTCTCGCGCTCCGCTGTAGGCGGCCCAGTGTTTCGTTGGTTCGGATCCTGGGCGCGGACATGGCACTGCTCGTCAGACCACGCTGAGGCAGTGTCCCACATGCCACGACTAGAAGGACCCACAACGAAGAATATACAACTATGTACCGGGGGGCTTTGGGGAGAAAAAGGAAAAAAGTAAAATCTTTAAAAAAAAAAAAAAAAGATTGCTTCTTGATGTTTTATTCCCGGGGCTATAATCAGAGGGAAGGCTCTATGTCAGGATTTCTCAAGCTTGGCGCTATGGACATTTTGGGCCAGATAATCCTTTGTTGGGGACTGTCCTGTGCATTGCAGAATGTTTAGCAGCATCCCTGGCCTCTACCTGCTAGATGCCATTAGCATCCTCCCCCCAAGTTGTGACAACCACAATTGTCTCCTGACATTGCCAAATGTCCCCGAGGGAAGGAGGGACAAAATCACCTCCATTCCCACTGCCCTAGATAATTATCTGGGCCGGGTGGTTTCTTAGTTAAACGTCGCACAGGTGGAGGAGATGAGGCCAGGAAGTGCTTTCCATCCTGCCTCGGCCTGTTCGAGTTAAAAGGCAGCGTTTACTGCGAGCATCCAGGCACTGGAACTCAGGTGGCTGCTTCTGTGCTAGACCAGGTCCCGCTCAGAGCCGAGCTCAGCACCTTCAACCTTCCCCCATAATTCAACTCTCAGGAAGCTTCAAAGAGAAAGGGAAATGTTCCTGAAGGTGTGCTGAAGAGATGAAGAAGAGAAGCCTCTTTCCCGCTCTTGACCCCCAAATTCCTTTACCAGGCCCCCAGCTCACCCTGCACCCCTCCCAAGACACTGTTTTCCTCCAGCATGCCCCATCCTAAGACACTTATCAGAATGTTTCCCCAATCAAGCACGCGTTTTTGCTAACAAGGACAATTTTTCTCCATGTTGTTACATCTTTGCTCATCTCATTTTCATAGACAAGGACACCCAGAAATAAACCCACACATCTACGGTCAATTAACTTACAACAAAGGAGCCAAGAATATACAATGGGGAAAGGACAGTCTCTTCAATAAATGGTGTTAGGAAAACTGGACAGCCACATGTAAAAAGCATTGGATCACAATATGTTTATAGCTGACATTATATAACACCATAGAACGCTAACAATGGCTGCTTTTGTTTTTATGAGAGAACCACTATGCAGTCACCTAATAAAATTTCGTAGAGAGAAGCACTCCAGGAAATAAGAAATACGCATGAGGGTTCTTGTCATTAAAGAGTTTCCAAGAATAGACTGAAGTGCCGGACTACCTGCTGTCTTTCCTTTGGTAGCTCAGACACAACCATCAGTGATTGTCCAAATTTCCTCCCGGAAACATGCATAGCAGAATCATCTGGAATGTCTCAGACCGGACCTGCTGAAGCAGAATCTCTGGGTTTGGAGGAACGCAGGGATTTGCAATTTTAGCAAGTTCTCCCATTGATTCTTATGCGTTATATCAACACTAAGAATAACATGTATCTCCTTTCATCGTGCTCTGTGTGCTCCTTCAGGAAGTGACCGAGTATAAAGTCTCCCTGTACAGCAGAGACACGTTCACATTTAATAACCCTCCGCCAACTTTGTGTTTGTTTTGTCTGGTCCTAAAGTTGCTTTTAATAAGGGGGTAGTTATCCTAGTCCATTGAGCTTATTTGTTTGTTTTTTAAATGATGCTCTGATTGCTCAGACAGGCTGGGTTTCTATTGCCCTTGGCATCCTCCCAGAGAATTTTAGTGCCGATAAGAAAATGTGTCTGTCACTCTCCTTACTTTCCTCTTCCATTTTTTTTTTTTTTTGAAGATTATCCCTGAGCCAACATCTGCTGCCAATCCTCCTCTTTTTTGCTGAGGAAGACTGGCTCTGAGCTAATATCTGTGCCCATCTTCCTCTACTTTATATGTGGGACGCCTGCCACAGCATGGTTTGACAAGCGGTATGTAGGTCTGCGCCCAGGATCCGAACCGGCAAACCCAGGCTGCCGAAGCGGAATGTGCAAACCTAACTGCTGTGCCACTGGGCTGGCGCCTTATCTCTTCCAATTTTTGAGCATGACATCGTAGGAGGTCCCCAACTGTAGACGTCTGAAACTCGGAGTCACACAGAGATGCATGAGTTTGGACCCTGGCTAGATTTCAAGGGCAACAGAAGAATCTCAAAAGGAAAATTCCAGAAGAGGATCTTCCCCCCAGGACACTCTGAGGATGAGGGCAGGCTACAGAAGTCGATTTCAAGAACAATGAGAAACCAGTTGAGGTTCTTTCTAGAAGTGTTGTATTCACGGCCATTCAAATGAGAGGGAGGGCCGCTACCTCCTTGCTTAAGCTCCGGAAGGAGCGGGGATCTGGAAGGAGGATCTTGGGGGAGGTGAGGATGCCTTGAAGATGAGCTCTATTCTTAAGTGTAGTCTAGAGCACCCAAAATAAGACACTTGCATTGTGAAAAGTGATTTGAGTGGAGGCGTATTAAAATAGAGCCCGAGGAACCATTTCAGAGGAATTGCCTTGCACGTCTTTTTTTCTTTATCTTCCAAACTGGACCAAACCGCCAACATTCCAAGAAGTCAGTAAGGACAAGAATACCCTGTATGTAAGGACTGATAAACTGGACTTTGCTCTGATGAGCGAATCTCAACCGATCTACAAAGTACAAACCTAGCCTGACCTCTTCTAGCACCAATGACCTCTTCCTTAATACAACTCACCTCATCCTCCCCTTTTCCCATAAAAACCCTAAGCCCCTTTCCTGGAATCGGAACACATTTTGGGTTTCTACTTGAATCTGTGTCCCCCAAATTACAATTCTAATTGCCCAAATAAACATCTGCCGTTTAACTTGTAGCGGATTTTTCCCTGGTCGACAGTATAGAGCCTCATTAATAACAAGAGTAGTTTAAATTCTACTCAACTCCAATGAGTTTTTTGGTGTGTGTCAGAAGTTGTCCACCAGTCCAGTACGCAGAGCGCCCGCCTTCCCCCAGAGGGAAGATCAGTGGAGATAGACAGCCTGGGGACCACACTCCAGCTCTGCCACGCCATCCTGCCTGCTCTACCCAGTGGGTCCCAACCTTCACCAAAGAAGCGCCACGCTCCTCTGTTTTATGCTGGGCTTCCACATAACGTTTCAATTCATAAAAGTATCCTTCTCCTTTAAATTTTCTTTCTTTTTTTTTTTTTTTTGAGGAAGATTAGCCCTGAGCTAACTACTGCCAGTCCTCCTCTTTTTTGCTGAGGAAGACTGGCCCTGAGCTAACATCCGTGCCCATCTTCCTCTACTTTATATGTGGGACACCTACCACAGCCTGGTGTGCCAAGCGGTGCCATGTCCGCACCCGGGATTCAAACCGGCGAGCCCCGGGCCACTGAGAAGTGGAACGTGCGAACTTAACCGCTGTGCCATCAGGCTGGCCCCTAAATTTTCTATCAAAGGTTTGAAAACCATTGTGTATAAGGCTCCCTAATGTCAAACACCGTAGGCCAAGAAAAAGGAAGACCCGCCCAAGAGTCACAGAGCAGGTGTAGGATGTATTTGTTTCCTGTTGCTGCTGTAACATATAACCATAAACTTGGTGGCTTAGACAACTCAAATGTATGACCCACAGTTCCAGAGGTCAGATGTCCAACATGGGTTTCACTGGACTAAAACCAAGGTGTTGGCAAGATTGTGTTCCTTCTGGAAGCTCTAGGGGAGAACCTATTTCACTGCCTTTTCCAGATTCTAGGGGCCACCCACATTCTTTGGCTTGTGACTCCAGCCAACAGTCTCATCGCTCCGACCTCCACTTCCTTCATCGCATCTCCTTCTCTGGCTCTGACTTTCCCACCTCCCTCTTATGAAGACATTTGTGATTACATTGGGCCTACCTGGATAATCCAGGAATATCTTCCCATCTCACAATTCTAAACGCATCCACGTATGCAAAGTCCTTTTTGCCACGTAAGGCATCATATTCACAGGTTTTGGGAATTAGGACATGGACATCTCTGGGGGGCCTTTATTCTACCTACTGCATAGGACCAGAACCCAGTTCTGTTGACTCCCAGCCCAGGTAC